TATTTTTTTATAACCTAATATAATGTATAAAATTAAATATTTTAAATTTTTTTCTAATCTATTAATTTTTATGAAATTTGTAATGATGCTGCGAATCACAATATGAATTTTTAAATAACTGGTTCAGTGCAGTTATTGACAAAATTAGATGATATTTTAAACTCCTTGAACATATAACTTTTGGTATATGGCTCGTCACCAAATGATTGGAGAGATTTGTTATTGATGTTGAGATATCAATTCTATTTTGGTATTGTGGTAGTTATATCAATAAGATTGTTGGAGTTGATTTTTAAAATTATTTTGTACTTGTATTTTGGAATGTTCTCACGCATGTTTTGGTCTAGATATGGTTGTATGTCCAAAAAAGCAGGAGAACACATGATTAGTTATTAAGAATAAAGATTGGTTTGATATTAAAGATAAATAGTTAAATTTATTTGGATATTGTGGAAAATTATGTTTATATGTTTATAACTTTTAAAAAACTGAATGAGTTGAGTTATTAATAAATCACAGGATAAAAAAGTATTTATAAATACTTTTTTGAAGATACGATAAAAAATATTTTGGTATATAGTTCATTACCAAATGAAAAAGGAATCATCATGATTTATTATTATTGTTGGTAAACAAGATTCCATTCTAACAGCGTGATAAATATCATAATAAAATTTTCATAACAGTCTTTTAATTTTTATTCTGTAATTATAATTGCAGTTTTATCATGCATGTTCAAATAATATTTAAAAAAAAAACTATGTAATAGATGCTTTTTTGAAGACATATTATATGGTTTATTACAAAAAATAAAAAAAATAAAAATAAATCCAGTGATCTTTAATTAATACAAAGAATTACATTTGTATTGCGGTAATTATCACAAAATAACTTTCAAAACTACTACCACTTAATTTATATTCTATTAATCGAATTGCACAATTCATAAAAGGTAGGTATAGTTTGATTTTTATTTATTTATGTATAAATAGTAAAGTAATTTTTAATATATTTTTTTAATAGTAAGTCTACTTACTTAATTACAAAGTGAAAGTTTCCATTTTTAATTATTCCATCAGCCTCTTTCAATTATATATAGATATTGGAGAGAGTGATATCGGGCGTGTTTGGATACAAATAAACTATTTTTTACTGTGTTTTTTTTCTGTTAATCATGATTAATTTGGAAAAAATTGATTTGATTAATTCTTAGCGGGATATTAAAAGAATATTTAAAATAAAGTTATTAAAATTAATTTGATATAAAAGTAGGAGAGAGATAATGTGAAGTGATGATTAATTAAAATTATGTGAGTCAATGGATAATGAATTAAAGTTGATGTGATATGTAAGAATGATTGATTGATATGATTTAATTATATTGATAATATTGAAAATAGTGAGATTAAGTTAAAATTGAGTTAAATTTAAATATGAATTGAATATGAATATTAATTTTTAATAAACAAAATCCCACAGGATATTTCATATTTGAATTTTCGAAGACTGGTGGTTTAGTTAATAGGTAGATTTTTTTCGCCACACATCATTTGTTAGCATTAAGTTTAAAACTAGTGTGTATCCCGTGCGATGCACGGACATACTTATTCCTTAAAACTTTTTTTTTAACTTTATTTTAAATATAATTATTTATATTTAAAACATCTCATTATTGGTTTCCTAATATACATTTTTCATAATTAATTACTGTGAAAATAAAACAACAAATTAATTGACATTTTAATTCCTATAAAATATAAGCAACTAATTAATTACCATGCATATTAGACATGACATCCCATATATATCATCCAAATACGGGATTTTTCAAATTTCTTTGAAAAATATTTCTAAAGAAAATTAAGAAGGCTCCACATATTATCAGAGATATAAAGGACTTTGAATAAAAATATGAAATATTCAAACTTAAAAGCGTAATATTTATTTATTTATTATTTTTAACTTATCTATAGATATATAATTTTTTTTAAAGCATGATATGTAATCATAAAGGTTTTAGTTAAAAAGTATCTATTTTATTGTCAAATCTATTGAGAACAAAATAAAAATGTGAAGGATTGACATATTATTTTATTGTAATTACTTATACATAGATTAAAAAAAATTTAGGAATGTTTGAAAACTTAACTACCTGATAAAATATTTGATTTCAAAACAATATAGATATTATAATAATACAATTTATTTTCTAAGTTTATGGTTTGTAATTTTCCTATAATTTCAAATTCTTTCTAATTGACCATAGTTTTCGGTTATTCTCATAAATTTTGAGATTATTTAAATTAAGGAGTACATTGAATTTTTCTTTGTTAGTTTAGTAAATCCAAATTTTTGGAAATATTGATAAATATTGTAATTTGTATATAATAAATGTTAAAATATATATTAACAAATATAATTTATGTTACTTTCAAAAATTCTAAATGTTTCAAAAAAAATCATAGGTGGGAGAAACCAAAAAATTTCAAAAACCAATCCCATTAGTAGTAAAAACTGAAAATTTGGGCGGGACTCTTCATGCTTTTTCTAGATTTTTCTTTATTGCTATTATATAGTAATAGATTTACTTGGCAACTTATTGTGTTGGTAATAAAACATAATCAGTTTAAATTGACTTTGTTAGTTTTAACAAGTTATTTGTCTTGATAGACAACGACAACAACAATAATAATCATAATAATAATAATAATAATAATAATAATAATAATAATAATAATAATAATAATAACATTTGAGTAAATAACTGCAAATTCTATTTCGGTTGCTTTATGTTGCGTATAAAATCTCTATCCTTTCGAAAAGAATAAAAAAAATAACTCCAGATACTAGTCGCCCGCATGGACTTTGATACATTTTACAAGATTAAGTACTTCAAAGTAAGATTGTTTTAAAGAGATTATAGACTTCTAAAAATTATTTGATAGATTTTTTTAGAGAGTGTTGTACCCGAAATGCGTCGATCTAAATATGCCTACTAAACAACGTAATGTGGACGACATGTTTACATAAACAATACTTCAAAGCTCCAGTATACAACATCAACACAAACACCTAAGAGTACATCTGAGCAGTACGCAGGCACCATCCTCGGTGACGATCTCACTCCAGGGCATAGGCACATCAGACCATCGTCACGATGACGTCGGAAGGATTATACATCACCCACAACATAATGAAGCTTCATTCATGCTGATCTCAGCTAACCTAGTCTAAAAAGGGTTGCCGTCCAGAACCTGTTCGCACTTCAAAGATATAAGCCACTTTAGCAAGTTGTTGGGACACGCGCATTGCAAATACGTAGTTGACCTCTAACAGTCTACTACGTGTCCCGAGAATAGTATTTTTTATTGTTCATCCCCATCTATAAATAGCCATGTCTCAAAGCTTATGAGGGACATCATTCAATTAATAAACCCCTATAGGGAAAATTGATCTAAAAGTTCACAGAAAATACCTAGCAAATATGTTAGTTCAATTACTTTCAATAGGCTTCTATAATCAAAAGATCAATAAGCGATCCAAAACTCCCCAATAAATTCCGGTGTGTATTAATAGTAACACCAAATTCGTCAGTTCTGTTGTTCATAATTCCTTTTTCTTCTTTAGTTCCATTTTTATCCGTAATAATCACGACTCCGATATAGCATATTACTGCTTCGTAATCTCGTTGACAAAACCATCCATTAATAGAGAGCTAATATGATACCAAAATAACTTATTCAGATTTTCAAAAGTCATCAAGACATGTATCTCTCATTTACCTTTTTTAGTATCTTATAAATTCTTTACTATCCGAGTAATTTAACATCTTTTAAATTCTTTATGATCCAAATAATTTGTAAATTAATGGAATGAGAAAAGAACACAAAAAATTTGTTTGTTGATTATTTAGTATTTACAAGTCTGCATCGTAGTTATAGGTAGTGGCGAGCAATATCGTATTCCACAGGTGAAATTAATTAAATACTAAAATAATAATGATTAAATATTATCTAAACTAATTCAAATTTGGATGATGAGTTAACTAAGAATTAGGAAATTATATTAACAATGAAAACTTGTTCTAAATTATGAAAAAAACAAGACATGTAAAATATATTCTAGGATATATTTACCTCACAATGAAAAATGTAATTTATTCAAACTTTATTTAATTCGTAGAGATAATTACTAAATTAATCCAGTCTCTCTCTCTCTCTCTCTCAAGTTAAACCGTAGATTAATATTCATTTATATATATCGGGTTGGGTTCAAGTGAAAAAGGTGTGTAGTGAAAGAAACCCGCAAAGTGTTAAGTCTAATGTCTTCCAATCTCTTTGAACACCCTCTGTCTCTAGATGTCCAATAAACCCGCAAAAGTGACAGAGATTCACCAGTTTTTCATATTGGAAGCTCACATTAACTAATTGGTTGCCAAGTCTTATGTTAGCGTACCTGAGTGTAGCTTCTTTCAAATCTTATGATAATTCTGCCTCCATGATTGCCAGAGCTGACTTCGACAACATTTATAACTCCTTTGAAAACTTTTCCATTTATAACTCCTTTGAAAACTTTTCCAATTTTTAGAACCACCTCTCACTTAGCCAGAAGCCGGTTGAGAGGTATATTAAGCACTTCAATCCATAAGTGCAGCTCTAGAAATCCGTGGTGATTGCTTGAAAGTCCTCCTTGCCATTCCTAAAGAATGAGGAACCGGATCTCAAAGTTAAATTGGAAGAAGTTGGTGCCATTCACTACTTTCTTTAAATCATCCCTGTTTTGGAAGATAAATTGGAAGAAGTTGTGCCCAAGTTCTTTGACCTCCATAGTCTGCTTTTTTTTTTTCTTTAAAAAAAGAGGATCACTATCTCACTTCCCCTCTTCGGTGACTTAAACCCATGACCTATCGGTCATAAGTGAAGCGTTTGACCAAAGCTACACTTTGTTGTCCTCCATAGTCTGCTTGAGTTTCCAAATCTGACCAATTGTTCTTTTGAAATCTAGCTGGCTTTACGTTCTCCAACTATTTTCCTGCAAAGACTCCAGTGGCTCGCACTTAGTTTAATATCTTCTTGCTCAATGTCGACTAGCGCATTTTCCTTTTCAGAAAGGGAAGAACTCTTGAGACGTTGAGCCAATTCTTCATCCGTCCTATCCCCTCTAGATCCCCCATAACCAAGCTCGAAAGAGAGAGAGAGAAAGAAAACCATAACCCCAGATAATAAAAGCCACAACTTTTCTGAAAACACTCCCCTACTCCCACACGCCAACGACCGAAAAAGATGAAAAAAGGCTCTCAGAGGAGAGAATATTTCGCTCAGATGAGAGAATATCAGGTATACCAACCTTGACACAACCATTTTATATAGGTTTTTAAATATTTTTATTTTAAAAACAAAGTTATGCACATAGAATTGCCGTAAATATGTATGATGAAATACTCTATTATTAACTTTGAGGTGTAAAATTTATATATAAATAATTCATTTGTATTATTTTACATTTACTTATAAGATAGAAATAGCATAATATATATTAATACAAAATATTATCTGCTTCAACAATTCATCCGGTGAACTAATGACCAACTCCGGCCGGGTTTAAAAACATTGCGTATAAACAGGTTGCAACTAACAAATTAAATACAATAATGCAATTTATGGTTCTCATCAATAATAGTGTATCACAAGCAGCTCATCTTTACAGCTGTTCAAATGCACAACATGGAAATCCAAACTCTCAGTAATAATTAAATAAAAAAATTAAATATATATAACAGAAAAAAGACAACAAGAACTCACATCTCTGATAGTTTTTCGGTTACTTGACTAATTTGAAATATAAGATCACGGCAATGGCAATAATCAGAAGTGTGATTGTGGTACCAATGATGCACTTGTTGCGATCCATCCTCCTTGACATGTTTGTTATTATTTTCCTACTTCTGCTTATATTGTCATCCACGCCATGCAGCTGGGACAAAAAGCTAAATGTTATGACGAACCAATACACAAATTGGCTTATGATAGAAGCGTGTATAAAGTATAAACAAAGTTCTGAGACCTGACCAGATGCCTAACAAGGGACAGACGCCTAATAAAATGTCAACCTATTGTGCACGCAGCTACAGGCCTCTTTTTCTCCAAGAAAAAGAAACAAATCGAGATAGCTCAGTAGATGTTTTGACAAACTATAAAGCTTATAATATCTCAGCTTGTTACCCTTTCATTGTTCAAATTCACTAAACAACTGTTGATTCTTTACACAACATTTTACAGAACATGCAAAATATCACACACACACACACACGCACCACGTCACTTCACAGAAAACAAATAAGCAAATAAATGATAAATATAATAAAACTATAAATAACTGCAGTGGTTATCTGGGGACAGAATGGGGGTTTCTGCAATTTCTAGACAAGAAAACAGGACAAAGGCAACTGCATTGATTACAAGAGACAGCACATTATCACTTAGCTTAAAAAGGACTCCTAAAAATAGGTAAAGTTAAGGTAAGAAAAAAGGGAAATAAAAAATACCGTGTTATTGGCATGCATGAGAGACTGTCGCTGTTGGTGCAAGTCCTGGAGAAGTGAGACGCCAAGCTCCTCAGTCTCCAGCATGACCTTTCTGCTTTCATGAATCCTGTTACTTGACTTGTTCAATCTTTCAGTTGACATTAACAATCTGTCCCTCTGATTAGCTGATACCTGTGAGTAGTACAACACCAATTTGAGGTTTGTTGATGGCTAGAAAAAATCTGCCCTAGGTAGGTGCAATGTGAAACATCTTGTACAGCTAGGGCATCCATAATTTCTTCAGAGCTAGGGCATTCATAATTTCTTCAGATCTTTTTCTTTTTCTTGTTTGTTTGTTCATTTAAAGTAGAATGAACCTCACAGGCATCCTGTAATTAATCCTTAGAAAACGATGCACAATGCCATCTGAAATATTTTTCCTCAAGAAAATTAAATTGAAAGAAAATAAGTCATACTACAAGTTTTCTTTTCTACATACCGACAATGTATCAGCCATTCCTGCCTCGAGAAGCTCATCCCGAGCAGCCTGATTTAGGTTTGATGATGCAATTCGCTTTACATTACTCTTCAAGTTGTTCAAGTCGGATTTGTATTCTCTCAGTTTCGCAAGAAGCACTGCTTTGATGTTTGGCTGCAATCCCCTGGCCTCAATGTCCATCTTCCGTATCTGATTGAATTCTCGACCAATTTCAGCAAAAGCAAAAACTAATGACAAAGTGGAAAGAAAAGGGAAGTGAGAAAGTAGATTAATAACGTGTGGATCAATACCAAAGCTTCTGCCTGATCAATTCCAGTATTGATTTCAAAAATCTTTTGCTTCTTTTGCTCTGCAAACAAATAATTAATTTGTTATCTCATATTCAGCAGCAAAAATAAGGAAAATGTTTTGGAAAAATGGGCCAAACAAAGAAGCTACATATGGAAATCCACGGAGAAAAGGAACAAAGTAGTAATCCATACAAATAAAAAACAATAAAAAGTACAGGTGAGAGTTCAGATTCAAGAAAAGAGGTTAAAAAAAGTATGAAAGCAGACAAATAAAAGTTAAAAAAAAAATGTATATATATCATCTAGATATGCATCTAAATATTAGGCTCCTGTTATCAATTTTCCTGCATCACATCCCATAATAAATCTAAAAAGGCTGAGGTTCAGGAACTGGTCAGGAACTACAAATCTCGGGCACCAATTAAGAATCCAACTGCTGCTCCAACAATTAACATTAAAAAATGCATCCTAATGTGTAATCAAACTAGCCACAAACATATATAAAGCTAATTTACCAAAAAGCTACAATTCGCACGAACCCAAAGAAATAGGCTAATATCAACCAAATCACCACATATATAACATAATAAACAATAATCGAATTAGGGCTTAAATTGACCTCCATCAAGTAGGCTGGCCGACGAGCACCTTTTCGCCAAATGGGCGGAGAGCTCGCAGTATTGCTTCTCGTAGCCTTCGAATGCGGCGGCCATTGTTACCTCCCTCTGATTACAGAGAAATAAACAATGTCAATCAATGTACCGTCGATCGAATTCTGAATCATCAATTACCCAAAAATCTTACATTGGAGGGAATCTGGTGAATAATCGGTGTCGATAAGTTGAAAATTGTAACGAAATGTAAGTCGGTTTTTTGGACTTTTGATTTAGATGTCTGTTCTCACCAATTATTGTGGTAATTTACGCCCTTTTATTAGTGACCGCCTCTTGGACGATTTTGCCCTTTTCATTTTTTCTAAACAACCGTTCGGTCGACCGGTTCGGACGGGCTAAAAGCCGTCCGAAAAGTTCGGTAGGTCGGACGGGCTCTGTCCGAACCGGCCGGCCGGACGCTTTAAAAGCTGTCCGGCGGCGATGGCCGGTCGGAACCGGTCCGTCTGGTTCGGCCGGCCGGACAATTTTTTTTTTTTCTTTAAATTATTATGTTATATATTCAAAATAATTATGTTATAAATTGGACTTGATTATTATGTTATAAATTATTATGTTACATTTTAAACTTGATTATGCTACAAATTAAACGTTAGATATTATCGTGTTAGGAGTTACAAATTATTATGTTACATGTTGATTATGCTATAAATTGGACGTTAGATATTATCCTGTTACAAGTTAGAAATTATTATATTACATGTTAGTCTTAGTTATATTATAAATTGACGTTAGATAGTATCGTATTAGGAGTTACAAATTATTATGTTACATGTTGTAGTTGATTATATTATAAATTGAACGTTAGATATTATCGTGTTAGGAATTACAAATTATTGTGTTACATGTTAAACTTCATTATGCTATAAATTGGACGTTAGATAATATCATGTTATGAGTTACAAATTATTATGTTACATGTTAGAATTAATTATCTTATACATTAGAATGAATAGATTATAATTTAACATGTTCTAAAAATATAAATATTGTACTATATAGCAGGAGTCATGAGAAGATTTTGGAGGAGATGGTGTTGATTACAACCTCAGTTTCGATACCCGTACATTATTTAATAGTGCTCAGGACGCTATTGAAGCTGCAAAACACCAGGCAATGCTGAATGGTTTTCTACTAGTAATTTCGAGCCACAAAAAGAAAACGGTCAGGCTTTTGAAGTGCCATAGAGGCGAACGCTAAAGAGGCACAGGCGGAAATTCCAGAAAGACAAAAACGAATAAGTAGGGCTGCGATTTTGAGATCAAAGTAAAAAAGGTGCCCGGGGAGCCATACTGGAGGATCTGTAGATGTAGTAATAAAGAGAAGGGCTACCATAACCATACATTTGCTGTGTATCCTGAGGGTCATCGTCAGTTGCGGCCTCAGCGCTTCATCTAAGAAAATTGTTCGTGATATGACGGACGCTCAGGTGCCCCTGACAAAAGTTATGGCCGCGCGGAAGAAAAATAATCCGGGAGACAACGTTCATGTGCGACAGATATATATATTTATATCTTGTAATATATGTTTTAATTAACTTTTTGAAGTTAATAATGATAATTAGTAATTTTTTATATATAAAAGTTATTGTAATAATTAATAAATTTTATTATATTTACTAATGTATTATTATTATGATAGTTAATAATTTTTATTAATATAATTTTTTATTTATTAATATAATAATTTTTTTATTTTAAATTATAATAATCATTATAATTAACGCTAATCGGTGACAGGTATATAACTTTAGAGATAAGCTGCGGAAAGACAGTTTCGAGGGTAGAGACGTTCCTTCCCAGCTTATGCATTTGGCCATGAGCAGCGAGTATGCAGTTTATGCAGAATCCGATCTGAACACGAAAGCGTTGACGCATATATTCATGGCCCATCCTGCGTCGATCAATCTATTCCGGACATATCACTGGTATGTCGGCATAAGATTCCACGTATAAAACCAACAGGTATGTTACTTTATAAATACTTTATTAGTATGAATCTTAAATAGTGTGTTTGATTAAGTTAACTTTTATTTGATTATATTTTTTGTCTTCTTGGTCTCATTTGCACAGGTACAAGATGCCGTTGGTCGAGATGATTGGGATGACGCCATGCAACCAGAACTTCATAATTGCGTATGCGCTCATCAGGGACGAGAAAGAAGGCAGTTACAACTGGGTTCTACAAAAGTTGAGACTACTGATAGGCCAGTACGTATATCCTAATGTGGTTGTCAGTGACAGAGAGTTGGGTTTAATCACTCCTATTCAGAGGCATTTTCCCGAATCAGCCCACTTACTCTGCACGTGGCACATCAACAAGGATGTGGAAGACAAAGCCTACAAACTCTTTGAGAAGAGTAAAAAATTCTCGCAGATTTTCACGCACAGTACGTGGAAACGTATTGCGGAGGCCAGTACGTTGGATGGTACACCGATGCCGTTGCCGAGCTGCACGCAAAATATTCGAAGTCTCCATAGGTGATATGAGATGTGGAGAACACATGGTTAGGGCACAAGGAGAAGTTTGTGAAGACTTGGACCAACCGAGTGACACATTTTGGAAACACAACTTCCTGTAGGGTGGAGAGTGCCCACTCTGTGTTGGAGGAGTGGTTTCACACATACACCGGCGCTCGATACAATATGGCAGAAGATTAATAAGCAGATTGATCATCAAGTGACTGAAATCAAGTACGTACTGAAATTTTTAAATGCGTTATTATGTTACTGCATTAATTATAATCTAACGTTATGTAAGGTATTATCAGAACGACGCTTGAGGCCTCGAGATCTAAGAAGAATACACGGTATAAGGGAATCCTTTTCGCGAGCGTGGTACTGAGGGTCTCGCATTACTGTCTGAGTTTGTTGGACGCTGAGCTTACGAGGATGTATGGCTTGGACGTCGATGTTTACGCTAGTTGCGGCTGTGTATTGCATTTCACTCATAGACTTCCTTGTGCCTGTCTGCTCCGTACCGCAGTTGATTCCGAAATTCCGATTGATCTCGGAATGATTCACCAGTTTTGGAGAACGCTACAGATGTTAGAGCCAGATAATTTAAGGTTAATGTTTTATTTATAATTTTCTACTTGATGTTTCATTTTCAATTACAATTTATGCAATTAAAGTACATTATTTGGTTTAATTCATTGAATTTTTTTATCGTATACTTGTAGGGACTGGTCACAGAGCCAGCCGAGCCAGGCTGCATGGTCAGATGCGGAGTTCTTTCAGACGCTTGTGAGTGAGGTTGAAATCCGCGATCCCGCGACGATGCGGTACGTGAATCAGTTCATGTACAGTCATCTTTACTCAGACCAACAGGATTATGCAGAAACTGAGGTTAAGGATAACCCGCGAGGTCGTCTCAAGAAAACTAATTCAACTAAGCGTAAACCATGTGCTTGGGAGAACAACGATAGATCGTGAGGTCGGAAATCGAGCCGTACAACCACTTCTTCGTGTGGACAGACAAGCTCGTCTTCTCAACAGTCACAAGGGAAGCAGGCGATACATTTTTTTTTTTTTTTTTAAATATGGTTGAACGTTAATTAAAGTATTTATATGATTATATAAATTGTGAAGTGAAATTATTATGATATTGCAGAGTTTAGACCAACAAATATATTTAATTTTACAATGTGGCAAAATATTCCCTGGCATATGTTGGACTACATAGTGAGTTATCTGAATGTGGAGGCGGATGGTAACTGCGGATTTCAGGTCATCGCGAGTTATGTGTATGGTCACCAGAAGTACTGGGCAGATGCAAGAGACAACATTGCGAAGGAGGTCGACAGCCACCGTGAATTGTACGAGTACATCTATTTTTTAGAGATATCGACACTGGACTCCGTCGAGTAAGGTGGGATGAGAGCCCTTGTGGACGGGCTCACTGGTTCGAAGTTCCGAAGGACCTCTACGCCGTTGCTACCCTATTTAATGCGGTTGTCGTTCTGTTGGGCTCTGGTCCGCAAGGTGGACAACACAACTTCTTCAGCATCACAGTGTTGCCTCTCATTGCACGATCATCGGCTAGAGGACTATGTCGTGAGATTGTCATGTGCCATCTTGGTAGCGTAGAACACTACATTCGTTTAGATTTGACTCTTGATTGTTCATTACCGCCTACTGAATCCATGTGGTTCTGTTACCGAGATCGATCGATTGTGGGTTGGGAGGATCAGTACCAGGCTAGGTTGCAATTGTGGTTTACTGTTCAAAATAGACCTTGTTGAATAAAAGAACGATATTATTCGGTTCAACAAAAGAACGATATTATTCACTTGTGGTATGATGCTTCTCATTCAACTTAAGTTTAGCAAATAAAAAAAAATGAATCAGTTCAACTTAAGTTTAGCAAAAAAAAAAAAATCATTCAACTTAATGTTTTACAATAATACTAGAAAAAAAACATTCAAGCATTGTCGTAATACAACTTAAACTTAGCAAAATCTTCTTGGACTTGCACCGCCTCCGGACATTCAACAAGGGACTACTGCATGGTCGATGTAATGCCCAAAAGACGGTCCACCCACTAGAAAAATGGAAGAATAAAAAAATATGACTAAAATTTATTTAAAAAAAAATTATTGTAATAAAATAACATTAATTAAAATTTAGTAACCAACTTACATAGGCGGTATTGACACGCGTAGGGACCTCGTTCTCGTCCGGAAGCTCCTCGCCCATAAGAGTCGGATGGGAAACCCGACTGTACCACTGCAAGTAATCCTCAGTCGTCTCCCCGCGATCATGTGTGGCGGGGGTGAACATAGCGGTGTTGACCGTCCCAGAAATCGGGAACTGGGTCCAGGCACCTACTGCAGCAGACTCAGAATGCTCAACCCTGTAGTTCCTAAACTCCCAAGCACGTACTGCACTGATTGGCGGGTATGTAGGGGGAGGGATAGTCTGGACATACCCCAACTGACGCAGACACCGCGCAGGTAAGTACGGCTCGACAATATCGCGGTATCGAATCAATCCGCTATAAAGAGTCCTCGGCTCTATCGCATCTGGGCTGGAGCTGCCGTATGGCAACCATTGCACCTGTTCACAATTGCACAAAAGCATTTATAAAAATAATTATATTATTTTAAATAACGGGTAACTAAATTCAAATAAAATAACTTAACGTACATCCGAGGCAGTGAGTCTGTCGAGGCGTCGACGGATGGCTGTGAGCCGATCGTCTGACCTTGGCGCATCCCCTACGCTCCACGAGCGAGATCGTGCGACACAGTCAGGACCGATGGGTAGACACCCCTGGGGTCAGAAATCGGGGAAATACTCATATATCCAGGACTGCAGAAGAGCCCCGCAACTCGACAGTCCACTGGAGTCCCCTCGGCTGGCAATACCTAGCTGTCTGTACATGTATGCCAGCATCGTCGATCCCCATGAGTAACCCCCAATCAAATCCAAGCCGTCGAGCACCTCGTGCAGGAGCTTGGGGGTCACTCTACTACCACTCTTGTCGACGAATAATGTGGTAGCCAGCATCACTCACATCCAGGCACCCGCCTCATCCCTAGCCGACCGGCGTTTTTCCCTGAATGCCCCCACAATGGAGGCTTCGGTCGCCGAACCACGCTGCCAGAACGAACTCATGAGTTCACCCTTGGTGACCGAAAGTATCGACATGCAGAGCCCATGGCAGGCGTCTGAATCCGGGTCCTCAGCGACCACGGCTCCCTCTACAGGAATGCCCAAAATGGCCTGGACGTCGTGCAGCATGATGCTCATTTCACCAAAAGGCAGGTGAAACGAGTTAGTATCCGGCTGCCATCGCTCCACAAACGCAGAAAGGAGTGGGGTGTCCAAGTGGATGTGCATGGAGTCGGCCAGATGTGACAGCCCGGTCTTGTCGATCAGAGCTCTCGCATCGGAAGACATCTCATCACGCCAATCCCTCAGATTCTCGACCGCTCTCAGTCTGTTGTGGCATTTCAGCAGCCTTCTAAACTGTCCAATCCACATGCGGGATGCGACGTGCCCTAGAAACCTAGGGATGACACTCCCATCAATGGGCCCACCGTCCACTGGGCCTTTAACGATCCAGGGTGCATCATCATCGGTCCTAGCTCGTTTGCTAGTATCTGCATTACAATACAATATATCTGTATATATAGGCTTGCTGGCAGATGTATTAAATAAAATATATTTAATAAAACATATTTCATAAGTTTCCCGTTTTTTTTTTTCAATTAATGTACAAACGTTACATTTTACATTAATAAAATATAATGACAATTTTAAACTAATTTATTATGTAACATTACTACTAAATGATTATAACAATAATAAAAATCATTATAATAATTTTCTAACTAATTAATTGTATGGTTCCTCTAAATTACAAAATAATTATACCATAGTTGAGGAGCAGGCCGATAATACTTTTCTAACAGTACCGATAATTTGTTATGATTAAGTGAAAATAATTTATGTTAAACAACAATAAATACGTAAATTATTTACCTTATGAGGATGCAGATGGGCCAAAACGCCCCCCAACCTGTCGTTAAGGAGCAGCCTGTGTAGGATGAACAGCCTGTACCAGACGAACATACTGTAAAACTGGTTGTACCGGACGAACATGCTGTACAGGAGGACGGGGGTGACTAGGACCCGTAGGCTGTGCGTGGTCCTGATCATCTGAGGAGTCGTTCGAGTCACACTCCTCTAGACCCTACTCCCTCTCGCCGTACGACTCATCAGCATACCCCTTCTGACCATAGGGTAATGGTACGCGTGCGCGAGGAGGTATCGACTTCCCTGCATAGCGGAGAAAACCATATCCCGACTGATCGTACGATCCTGGTGCCGGGGGCATCGAACTGTCTGCCTGGCCAGGATAATAAAATCCATGCTCACCGTACGGGAGGACTCCGTGGAGTCGCGAACTATCTAGCTGGCCCTCAAAACGATATCCCTGTGGACCATCTCGCAGTGGTGCGGGGGGTCTCGAACTCTGGCTAGCCTGACGAATCTGTAACCTCCGAGCCTGATCGATCATCGCCTGCCTTTCCCTGTCCCTCTCTCGACGAACGGACGCATTGACACCCCGACTTCTAGTGTGTCGGGTGCAGAACCATCATAATAGTCATCGAACGCCTCGTCGTCGTCCCTGGCATTAGATTGTCCAGCACTGCTAACACCCTGAATTAGAAATATAATTATTAAATTTTTCCATATGTTATAACTATTGTAATAACTATTAAAATAGATTACAGTTGATTTTTATTTTAATTTATAAATTTTATTATTATAATTTTTAATTATTATTATAATTATTATTTTAGAAATTTATAATAATTATTATAATTAATTATATTTATTATTACAAATTATTATTATTAATTATAATTAATTCTAATTTATAATTATTATTATAATTAATTTTATTATAATTATTATTATTAATTGTAATAATTATCAAAAAAATTTATTAAAATTATTGTAATTAATTCTAATGGTCCGGTTCGGTCCGACTGGCCCCCGATCTCGCCCGGTTTTTACCGCGTCCGGCCGCCGATCGCGAACGGCGTAAAAGCAGTGCGTCCGGAGGCGACGGCCGGACGCCGGCACAGTTTTTTTAAAAAAAAATTAAAATTTATTTAATGCGTAAAAAAAAATACCTGGCTAGAGAACAATGCTCTGCCCATGTCGTAGGATTTTTTCGACATTTTTTCGGATTTTTTTTGTGTGAATCGCTCTTTGAAAGTCCAAGAATTTAGAGAGAAAGAAAGTTTAGAGAGATAGAGTCTGAAAAAGTGTTCAAGGCAAAAGAGTAAATGGGGGGAGGGGAGCGGTGAATAGTAAATGAGTTTACAAATACATAAAACTTTACAAAGAGAAAAAGGAAATTATTTCTTTGACTGTTAAAAAAAATTGAAAACAAAAATGACAACCTTTCCGAGATTATTTCTTTGACAGTCGCATATCTTTTCACACGAATAATTTTGTACTTTATCAGTTATTTTTGTCTGTCTATCGCATAATTTTTCGCATAATGTTTTTGCACTTTATCAATTATCTTCTTCTTCCTTTCACATAAATATTTCACGCTCTATCAATTATCTTTTGCATAATGTTTTTGTACTTTATCAATTATTTTCTTCTTCCTTTCACATAAATATTTCATGCTCTATCAATTATCTTCGACTATCTGTCGCGTATTTTATTGCATAATTTAAATTATGGTTGCATGTTTGTCGAATAGTTTATAACTATTTCGCAATTATCAATTATCTCCGTCTGTATATCGTCTGACGTATCGCATAATTGTTTCATACTTATCAATTATTTTCGCATGTTTGTCGCATAACTTATCGTATAATTTATTGTGCACTTTATGAAGTGAAAAAAGTTAACTTTTTATTTGGCATTATTGTAAAACTTATTATTCTTTAGAATGAGGTGAAAATATTCTTCAAAAAAAAAAAAAAAAAGAATTGTATAAAAGTGTCGAACTGGTCCACTTGCATTCGTGTTGAAGGGTCAATCAAAGCTTGTTGGAGATTCAAAGCATAATTAAAGCTAATCTTCTAAAGCTCGGGCAAGAAACTTTATATAATCAACCAAGCTTTTACTACACTATGATCCACACAGCTTCATTTGTTTACACCGGCAATCAACATGTCAGATACATTATGTAAATGCATAAGCAATCAAAAAGCCAATCGTCCTTTAATCTTGGCCACTTCCTTGCTATTATAAGGTTCAATCAGGAACAGATCAAACACTCCATTTTCCATTATCTGATAAATATGTACACTCGGTTCTCTATGCATACAAGGAGAAACATAATGTTGAAAGTTCTTCAGAGGAACTTCTACCTCACAACAGAGTATGTATTCAAGAAATGAAAACCTCAATAGTCGGGAATTGAGGCAAAACGGTATCCTTGGGTACCTCTCCAGGAGTAATATGCAATCCGAGTCTCGTAAAAGCCTGCGACAATTTCACAAGACATAATAAAAGTAATGCAAGAATGGACCATATAGTATGCTTCAGCATAAGTACAAAGAAAAGAAGATGATAATCCCAACAATATGAGCTCACATAAACACATGTTCAGCACATAATCAGTAAGAGAGAGCAGAGAGCACAATCATAACCCATCAAAGGCATGATTACTATTTGGTGTAGAATATTATTATTATTAGGGTTAATTATTATTATTAATTATTTATTTATCTTGCCTATATAAATGACTCCTAGTTCATGTTCCTTGATTGATTATTCAATGAAATATGAATTGATTGTGAGTTTTATCGAGAGATTATCTCGTTTATCTTTCCCACTCTTTTGCTTCCCTACATCAATTGTATCAGCAGTCAGTACGATTCGCGATGACGCCGGGACAACAAGACCCCGCAAACGAACGACGTGACGCAACCTTCAACGATCGGTTTCAACAGATCGACTACCGATTTCAACAGTTGACGTACGTTTCACGGATTGGTTTGCCGATCTTTCGAGGGGATCGAGGATTTGCATTTGACACTTGACAACGTGGCCTGGGAATTGCAAACGTACCGTGACGCCGGCAACCGGGGCGTGCGCGGGGGAATTTGCAGAGGACGTGGAGGCCGTGGTCCAGGCGGAGCGCCCCCGCCGGAGATCTCCACAACCACCGTCCGGCGACAAAGACGGCGAAGAGACAGTCTTGGAGGTGAATACCTTCGACGATTTTCCAACCCCGCACGTCGAGGCTGACCCCTTCGCTGTATACGGCGGCCGTGACATGCAGCAACGGGGCTCGGTCTTCGTGGACGGCGACGATCAACGCGACGACAGAGGCAGGCGCGAGGAGGCTGCCTTCACGCGGCTGATATCGTGTCCGACACGATTGGGGACTTAATCGCGAATATGGTGAATGGGAGGGCCCGTTTCGCGTTGACATCCCCAAATTAGACAGTGAGCAAGTTAACGGGTCGCTGTACGACGGTCCGTCGATCTTTGATGAAGAGCCTCCAATGACGGAGAAACATCTTTGCGGGGACATAGGAATCGATGAGAATGCAGTTGTCGGCATGAATGGTGATGACTGCAAAATTCGTAGTGGATCGGTATCAATTGATGTATATTCAGATATTGATGCATCTATTGTTTGTGATTCATGCGATATGTGGTATCACGTTTTTTGTGTGGGATCTGATTCTAAAGGCAGATGTGCTTGCTCTTGGTTGTGCCCAGAGTCTTGGTATTTGTTGCTTATGGTGGTGAGACAACTGTAGTCGTATCCCTGTTAGATGAAAATCAAGAGAGTACTGTTGCATTGGTTGGGTGACGTTCAACTTTCGTGTTTGATGGAGGAAAACGACGGGGGTTTCTTACCATGGATTCGACACACGCCGGCCACGGGAGCGCATCGGCTTCGAGGGCAAAGCCTTCCGAACCGGGAGAGAATAATGTAGAATAGTATTATTATTATTATCGGGGTTGCTCATTTCTCTCTCTCTCTCTCGTTTTTTTTTTCTTTTTTTCGATCTCTTCCTTTTGGTTTCGAGTCTTTTTGTGTTTCTCTTGGTTTCATCTCTAGCCTACCCCGACTTGCTTGGGACTAAAGGCTATATTGTTGTTGTTGTTATTATTAGGATTAATTATTATTATTAATTATTTATTTATCTTGGCTTGGTGGACAAGTTAAAGTTTAGGATTAGAGGCCTTATATAAAGGACGACTCCTTCTAGTTTATGCTCCTTGGTTGATTATTTAATGAAATATGAATTGATTGTGAGTTTTATCGAGAGAGTATCTCGTTTATCTTTCTCACTCTTATACTTCCCTACATCACTATTTAGAAAGGTACAACGCATAATATATTATGAGCTAACATTTTCTATAATTTCCGGATCTCAAGTAAATTCATTAAGTAAAGAACAAATGATCTCCAAAAACGAGGTGTCCTTAGCCTGCCTTTAAAACCAATCTTTTTATTCGACTATTTAATCATAACAATTATTATTGGTAGCATCTAAAAATCCCTTCCTCTTATCGTGCCCAAGCATTTCAACAACTTCAAAACAGAATCTGATTTGTTAAAAGATTTTATGGGCTTGTAAGATTTAGTATAGCCATGCACCTACAATTCCTGGAAAAAGGCTCCATACAAAATATTATTCGCAGCCACTTAAAAAATCTCAGCTTAAACAACATAGCAAGTTATCATAATGAGCCACAGTGATTTTACCTGGAACAAAGGTAAGAACTCCTAGTCCTAAGAAGCCGTATGCTTGGGAAAGCTCCCCTCCCATGTGACCAGTGAATATGAAGAATGCAAGCAAGAGTAGCAAACAACCGAGAAGGAGCAAAAAAATAGCTAGAAATATCGACTTCCAAGGAATCTTGTCGTATGTTCTAGGTTCATAATCAAATCTTGGGTCATGTCGATTTTGGCTGCTACCATCATAATCACTATCTTCATCTACAGAAACACGGCTATAGCGGATATTACGTTTTGATGCCATATTGCTCAACTAGCTCCTGTTACATACAAGTTTCTCATAAGCTTGTACCAAATACAATATATAGTCATTTAGACAAAAGGGTAGAGATGAAATAGGAGAAAAACCTAAGGAACTAACTATTACACACATAAATACCAAATATAACCTTCAGAGAAAAATAGAATGGTTATAGTGCATTAGCTAAGATAGCTTCACTGATCCCACATGATACCTCACACTTTTGACAAATTACATCATTTTCCAGAGAAAATTGATAATTGAAGGTATAAGTGATGAATATTGGACAGCCATTAGACTGACAAAAAAGCTAGCTCGAACAATCATATAATTTGAGATAAACATCAGAGCAGAATGAACCCCATTTGATGTACTATCTTTTCATTTTTCTTTGTTCCTACAACTGTAAATTACTATTTACACAATTTGAAATAAACAAATTTTCAATTCAGGAAATCGCCATTACAAATAAAAATTGAACAATAAACCTCCACCGTCAACTTGAAATATTGCCAAACCAAGGTGGGAAAGTCACAGAAGATTAAAAAAAAGTTACATGTGATATCCTAAGTTTACTAAGAACTCCAATTCATACACCAAAATAAAATATTCATGATTTAAGTAAATTTCGCAGAGCAGAAACTCCCACCAAGCACTTCACAGATCTGCGAAATTCATGCAAAACATATTTTACTAAATCCATAGATAATCTGCAGAGTTTAATTCCTAAGCCACAGTAAAATACGAAATGAACTTGTAAATGAATTCCAAAAACAGCGAGAGGTGTTGGATAGTAAAGACCATACAGCTGAAAGATTNAAAAGTCACACCAAGATACACCGTAATAACATCGAATATCTTTAAAAAAAGAAACCTAATCAACATATAAATGAAAAGAAAACCAAAACACAAAGCCAAAGTTGTATTAGCATATCATCAGATGCAACAATAGACACCAGTAATTATCAGCATAAAATTTAAGATCTCTTAATCCCAGATGAATATTCTTCGAAAAACCGAGTACATCAAATCCAATAAAATTGAAGTACAAGTTCTCAACAGCTAATAATCATATGGGATAGTGTTTACCGGGCAGAGGAAGGTGTCGCTGCCGGCGGCAGAACATGCCTGGGAAAAGTCAACCGAACAACAGCAGCGGACGCGTCATATTGAAGTAAATGACGAAGTTATTAGGCTAAATAGCTATTTTCAACTAATGTTTTCACTTTTCACCACTCGAATTTTGGGTCTAATTTTACTATGTGGTATGTAAACAGACTTAAGTTTTGGATGATATGAAAAAATATATAAAAGTAACAAAATTGACTTCAATGCAAAGAGACTATGTCTCTACTTGGGTCTAAAATAGACTTAAGGGTAGACTGAGTCTCTTTTTCTTGCATTTGCATTAGAGAATTTATTTTTCTAGACGGGATCTATTTCCTACGTGTCATGTATATTTTTTTGAATAGACCCAAAGCATTGTGGTGTTCTTATTCTTTNTCAAACATAAATTAACTTATTCACTCCCACAAAATGTTGAATAAATTATGCATAGACAAAAATAATTGATAAAGTATAAGTGTAAAATAAATGATGCGACACACAGATAAAGATAACTAATAAAGTGCGAAATATTTATGTCATGAAAGAGAATAAATAAAGTCCAAATAAACAATACGACAGACAGTAAAAAAATAATTGATAAAGTGTCAAACAAGTTATGCGATAAACAATGTGACAGACGAACGAAAATAATTAATAAACTGTCAAATAGATTATGCAATAAACAATGCGACAAACGGGTGAATATAATTGAAAAAGTGACAAATATTTATGCGATAACTATGCGAAATAGAGGATAAAATAAAATGTGAAATATTTATGCGATAAATTACGCCACAGACAGGTCAAGATAATCGCTAAAATGCGAAATAATTATACGATATACCACAGACATGCGGAAATAATTGATAATGTACGAAAAAATGATGTGATAAACAATGTGAAAGACAATTGATAAAATGTGAAATAGATTATGTGATAATATATGCCACGGACAGGCAAAAATAATTGATAAACTACGAATATGTGATTAAAAAATAATTGACAAAATAATCTGAAGTGTAAAATAACAATTCGTAACAAATGCTATTATATCAAAAACTTAAGGCCTTTTTGTATATCGCCATGACACGATTTAAGCGATTAGTGAAGTAACCTCATCATATAGTGATATGGTCCGAGATGAGTGACTCCGGTCTTTCAAAGGGTTCTTCACGATTGCAGCGTAAACGTGTTTAATTCGATCCGGTCCAAGCTTGAGTGTTCGTCGGTACCTGCAAACACGCCGGAATTGCTCCGGCGCAAGACCCTCCGACGCCCAAGTCAATATTCGGAATAAGAGAGTTAATGTGTATTGAATGTAATAGTGATAGTAATAAATGATGTCTTACCTATACCTGCGAGATTTCACCGTATATATAGTATTAGGTCGTACGAACTCTCTTCGGGACTATTGGTCTCTAAATACCCCTCGACCGAGTTGATTTGGTCGATGTCCCACCGTACGGGCCAACCTTCGACCCACCCTACTCTCTTGTTATGTGATCGACCACAGGCTTAAGCTCGACCACTCGGTCCGGTCGAGCCGCCTTCGGTCGATGTCCCACCGTACGGACGACCTTCGCCCACATGTTAGGCGATCGACCACAGGCTTAAGCTCGACCACTTGGTTCGGTCGAGCCGCCTTCTACCCTAATCACCCGGCCCTTATTCCATGGGTCTAGGCCCAGTTAGCTCGGGTCAACACTATAATCCCTATCAACTACTCCTCTCTATTTACGAATATTCGAATCGAAGTTCGCGTAATCGTAAATATAAGTGTTCGCGCTCATCGTCACCGATATTGATTATTTCATTGGCTCATCATCACTTTGCCATTACAAGATTTTCAAGTATGTTTAAGGCTTGTGCCCGGTCAACTTCTTAGAGGGTTTTGGTAGTATTTAGTAGTTGGATGCCTTTGCCTTTTGGTCCATACCTTTCTCTCTTTCCAAGACCTCATTTTTAACCATAGATCTTACCAACCAAGATCCTATGGGCCATTTTTCCTCACTCATCTACCCTAAATTACTTTCCCTTCTATAAAAACTTCTCCCTTCCTTTTGCTACAAGATTTTCCCCTCCCCTAAATTTCTAGCCGGCGGCCCCAGAGGAACCCGACTTTACCCGACCGATTACTCCAATTTCTAGGTCACTCTCTCGCCGCGCCATCTCTACCCATCGAGCCAGTCGGTTTTCGGGCTTCCTCTTGCCGCGCCGACCTCATTCCACCTCTCTCGTCGACTTCTCGGTCCTCATCTCGCCCCATCGACTTCGTCTCGCGGAACCCTTTGACCCGTCAACTATGGGTAAGTTCTCTTCGCATCCCTACATTTCATTGTTGTTGTGTGTTGTGGTCCTTTTGTTTCCGATTTCCTAGCTTGATTCTCGAGCCTAAGCCCAACATTAGAGTTCACCGGGTCCTTATGTAGATTACTTTTCGTACCCTTGTGTAGATATGCCTTCCGATCCTCCTCTTAAGGCCCCCGAATGTTACACGTTTTTTAAGGACCAAGTTGGTGTTGGCTCCGATTCTCCGGCCTTGAGCCCCTTTTGCGCCTATGTCGGGTGTTTAATTTTCCCTTGAACCAATTACCCCCTAACGCCATTCGGACCATGATCGCTTTTGTTATTTTGTGTCGTCACCGGTTGGGGCAACTGGATCCCGATTTTTACTTCTATTGCTATGATCTGAGGTTTCAGCGGTCGGGTAGAACGGGACGCCATTATACGCTTTCTCGCAACGGGGCCGATTTTATTTTGGACTTCCCTTCTAATGTTTCCCTATGGAAGACGAGGTTCTTTTACGTTCGGCCTCCACCTAAGGCTTTCTTTTTCGAGCCGGAGTGGTTACATGAGCGTCGTGCCCCGCCACGTAGACCTAAGAAAAGTTCCCCTTGGAAATCTGTTGTTGAGGATTGGAATAAAGAGCCTATTGCCGTAGTACCTCTTACCTCTTCAGTCGCCCTTCGCCATTATGCCGGCTTGACCACCGAGGAGTCATCTTCTTCCGCCAGTATAGGTACCCACCGCTTACTCCCCCTCTACATGCACTCACGTTATTATTTTCTATCTTCCTTGCATGTATGTTGGTGCAAGTCACACGGGTAGATTATGCCATTCGATCGTGTTGATGATGAGGGTCGACCGGTTCAGTTTTGGACTGACCGCGAAGTGGTCATGTCGACCACGTGGGCCGTGAATCGGTTCAGTCGACTGCACGAGCCGTGGGTCAGCCGCCCCGGCCATGGGTCGATCCCTCGACCGCGAAGGCCGTAGGTCGATCAAGCCACCCGTGTGAGAAACGGGTCGATTGAGTTGACCGCTCGAGCCATGGGTCGATCGAGCCACCCGCTTGAGCCTTTGGTCGACCGCACCATCCGTGGGTCGATCCCTCACCCGCGCCGGCCATGGGTCGATCCCTCGACCGCGGAGGCCGTAGGTCGATCGAGCCACCCGTGTGAGAAATGGGTCGATCGAGTTGACCGCTCGAGTCATGGGTCGATCGAGCCACCCGCTTGAGCCTTTGGTCGACCACACCACCCGTGGGTCGATCCCTCGCCCGCGCCGGCCATGGGTCGATCCCTCGACAGGGTAGGCCATGGGTCGATCGAGCCGCCCGTTTGAGTCTTAGGTCGACCGTGTCAACCACGGGCCATTTCTATTCTTGCCATTATGTCTGTGATGCATACTTGTATTGACCCACTTATACTATGTCTGTATTGACCCGTTTGTACTTGTTGTTTTCAGATGATATTATCAAGAAAAGCATGACGCAGAAGAAACAAGCAAGGGCCAAGAAGGCGCGCGAGGATGGGCCCTCCGGCCAAGATCGGGAGAACCGACCCTCGGTGTGCACCCGGAGTCAGAGCCAGTCCGCCTCTCATAGGATGGGGTCTCAGTCGACCCATCCCGCTGCCAACCCTCCTTCACGGGCCGACGCGCACGCTACCTCCAGTCGGGCCGACGCGCACGCTTCCTTCGGTGGTACCGTTTCGACCCCCGACCGCTCGAGCCGTCAGGTGGTCGGATCCATCCCCTCTCCGAGTGTCGGGAGGTCTGGTCCGACTCACCCTGCTCCTAACCGCGAAGGGGTCGATTCCCGTAAGCGCGCTCAACCCTCCGACTTTGCTGATAGCGTGGCTGCTCCTCCCGACTTTGGGAAAGACGTCGATCCTACCGTTCTTGCCAAGTATCTCTGCTCAGTTATGCCTGATTCCGAGAATCGGCGTTTTGAGGGTAGGCCCCGAGAACGGGCTCGAACGGCAGTTCATAAACTTGCCGAGGTATGACTATCATTTCTTTAAGTCTACCAAGTTTTTTATTTTTTCTGATCGATGACGACGATGACGATATTTCTTTCTTATGCTTGTAGTTTCTTGGAGCTGCGAGCTCTTTGCTTCTTGACGAGGTGGATAGGCGTGCTGGTGCTGACCCTAGGGAAGTTGACCAGCTGAAGAAACAGCTCGGGAAAGCGTGGTCCACCGGCGATGCCCTTAAGAGTCAGCTGGCGGTGGCCCTCAAGGGCAAGGAGACTGCGGAGCGAAAGTGCGCCGCCCTCGAGAAGACGCTGACTGAGCGTGAGAAGGAGCTCAAGGAGAAGAATCAGGAGCTCAAGGAGAAATTGGCCGATCTATCCAGGCAGATGGAGGAGGTTAAGGCCAGTCATGCCGCCTCCGCCGAATCTTTTCGGGAAGAGGGGTTCAGGGGGTTTCTGTGCTCTGACGGGGGCCAACGCTTTCTGGCCGCATATCGGAATGAGCTGCTGAGCCTGTACCGCGACTCGATCCCCTATCTCCACCTGCTTGTCTCGGCGACCCGTCAGTACCTACGGCTCGCTATCAGGCGTACCCAGCAACAGGCTGTCGACCAGGGTTTCATGGGGGCTTTTCGCAACAAGGCATTGCACAGCAACCTGCCGTACTCTAGAGGGTTTATGGGCGATGGTACGTTGCCCTATGATCACCCTTGGTGGGATCCGGCTCTTGGTGACGCGGTGAGGGCTGCGGGTCTTGAGGGCCAGGTAGATTTGCCGGGTACGCTGCCGCCTCCTCCTCTTTCTCCGGCCCCCTCCGAGTTAGAGGAGTCGGAAGACGATTCG